GAGTATGCTGCTGAGGAAATTCCTGCGCCAAGTGGAACGGCTTAGGGTGATGTGGGAAGTCTGTTTCATCCAAGATGGGCTGTTGGTCTGATCTTCAGGGTGGGTAGATTAGTAGTGCAGGCTCATCCAGACTTCGGTAGGAGAATCATGAAACCTATTGTGGCATCTTCTGTAATGGAGAGGGGCAAGAGACAAGGGCACTCCCCACCTGATTGGCAGGTATCTCCAACCTCACAGTAAATGTCTGTCCAAGATCTTGGAACTTGAAGCAGTGTCCTGTGCTTAATGTTTTCGGCTTTGTGGAGGTGACTCGGATGCTCGATTTATCCACTTTCGCGGGTTTGTCTTTAGCATCCTGGCACACTGAAATTCTTTCCTTGGTCTCTGACCTTATGCATGGCATGGCACGTTCTTAACCTCCACTCAGGCCTCTTGTGCTGGCATCTCAAGCTGCCCTCTTCTTCTAACACAAGATGAGCTCAGTTACTTCCCCACAGTTCGAAGGAACAGCAAGTTCTTCAGAGTCCTGCCTCCCACTGTCTTCCCAGGTGCTGCTCTCGAAGGGACGCTAGCCAGCTCACAGTTGCCACTCAGGACCGCAGCTCCTTTCCCAGCTCCCACTTAGAAACGAGGTCCTAAATCTGCTTAAGCTAGAAAGTTACGCAGCAACGCTCCCCGATGCCGACTCATATGGTAGGAGTGAGATGTAGTGAGTGGATTCACAGTGCTTAGGGTCTGAGCTGCATCCCAGAAACAGGGCCGCTGATCCAGAAGTATGGGCTCATCGAAAAAGGTGAAAAAGGATGACCAGGAGGGCATAGGTGTCTGCAGTGAGTGGGTGGACGTCCTGGAGAGCAGTGGTTGCTGGGGTCAGCATGCCATCTCTTTGGCTTCCCAGATTGCTATTCCCTTCCCAGATTGCAGGGATTTTGAGACACCGTGAATCCCTCCTTGGCCATCAAGCAGAAGTTTCAGGCATTCACACATCTGAGGTAGTTTCCTCCAAGACAGAGCCATGTGTTTGAATTCTGCATCCACAAGGAAAGCAGAACCGCTGTGCCCCGCTAGGCAGTCCTGTCTGGCCTGTGTGTTTGAAGGCTTCCTCGGAGCTGTTGGGAGCCCTTGGCATCTCCTTTAAGCCCTTGCACCTGCCTCGATGTCAAACCTTTCTAGAGCTTTGAATTCTGCACAGGGAAACAAACAAACAAACCTTGTTCCTCCTTGTCTCTTCTTGGTCAGTGGGCGGGGGGAGTGCACTGGTGAGCTTCCTCATTTAGGAAACTCCATCTGGCAGCAGAGAAGATGGGGACCGATCAGCCTGATTGTCTGGATGCTGAGATGAGTCATATCTCCAAGACACAGAGGCCACACACTGGGAATTCAGTTTGATATGACAAGTCATCCTTCCTTGTCAACCGGGACATTTTTAGCAAGATGATAAGATACTCCAAATGCTCTGGGTACCTGTTGGCTGAGAGGCGGGGTCTATGCCAGACATCCTATTGCCTTGCCCAACTCTGGCTTTCTTTGCGTGGTTTTCTGTGGGCTGTCGGGGCTGCAATGGCAGTGAAAGTTCAAAGGTCTCTGTGTGTACATATTTCGGTGCATGTACAAGTGTGTAGGTGCATGTGGGGTCCAGAAATTGATGTCTCATTCTTTCCTTGATTACTCCCTACCTTATTTTTTGAGACAGGGTCTCTCTGAATCTTGCTGGCTATCATTTGCCAGAGATCCTCTTGTCTCTACCCTCCCCAGTGGTGCTAAATCCATTTTTTTAAGAAAAAAAAACCATAGATGCTGAGTCTTCATGCTTGGGTGGTCAGTACTTTATTGATGAGAGCCTTCTCGCCAGCCCCAAAGTTCTGTTTTTGCAAGCAACCGAGATACTCAGCTCATTTTATTCTGACTGGATGCTACTGTGAACCCCCAAGCAATCCCTCTTCCTTTCCAGTGCCCCTTCACCCAAGGTACCATGTAGAAGCAGAGATGATTCAAGCTGGAGGAGCTCTGAAGCTACCCTTCCCATGCCTGTCAATCACGGGGGAAACTTCTTAAAATGTTTCCTTTACAGAGTCTCTGGTGTGGCCTAAGGAGACGTATTGTCACAAGCTTTCAAGGACTGTGGGTACCACCAGTTAGAGGAGAACAGAGATTTGGTTCAACGTGGTTATTTCATGGATGTGAAAGCCGAGGTCCAGAGTGTAAGTACGTTTGTCCAGGGTCGTAAGTAGACCCCTGTTCTTCCCACGTGCAGTCCATCTACATGAAAAGAGCCTTCTTCATTTAAGTATTACTTCCCTAGCAGACTCAAAGCTCTTGCAAGACTCTCGCACACTACCTCAATCTCACCCACTGCCAAGAAGGAAAGACCACTGGTCCCATCAGGGTCCCTTACTTCACAGCCCCAATCTTCCGTTTCTGATGAAGTTTCTAAAGTTTTGTTTTTAATCCTGACTTATTCTTTTTAGGAAGTGTTAAAATATCATCTCTGTCTTAAGAAAAAAAAAACACAACAAAAACGGGAAGGGCACACAACCATGTTTTGCTCCACATGTTAAACTGTTAAACCCACTTGGCAGTTGCTACTCTGTCGCGCCTTGGATATTCTGAGAAATGTTCCCCATCTTCCTCTTCCGCTAGGTTGCTTGAGATAGAGGCCACACTCCAGTGTGCTGGCTACCCCTTAGTCTCTGTGCTTCCCAGAGAACCCCAAAGTCATTCAGAATGGCACTTGAAGTGTTAGGGAGATTCCCAGTGGACAAGGACACCAAGGACTGGCCTGGGGCCAGTAGGAATTGGTTTGAGAGTCTAAGGCTGTCTCCACTCTGTCCCCTCCTGCTGGCGGGAGGGCAAAATGCCATTCTGGGGACAAGGCCATCATGGCGACAGGGTGTAAAAGTCTCTTTGAGGCCAGAGGAAGGCAGAATACGATGGGAAGTAGGGAAACTGCCTTTTATAGGCATGTTCTTTTCTCTCCCCCCCCTTTCATCCAAGTTTACTCCCTGCAAAAAGTGCCACGGCAAGACATCGGGTCTGTAGGCCGGGGGGCACCAGGGGCAGGGTGGTGGCACCGCAATACCCCTTCCCCCATCTTGCCTGCAAGTTGCATGACCTGCATCGGAATCCACAGGGGGGCGGGGGAGAATCCTTTCAGATCCTGGATGCCGTTGAATTCAATGCATTTTGCTTCCTCGCCTGCCCTCACCCAAGCTTGGGGAGGAGAGCGCTGCTTTCTTCTGCGTGTGAATGCTGTAGTGTGTCTGCCTGCTCGGACTCTCCTAACCCTTTCTTCTCCTTTCCCACAGCCAAATCTCAGACTTTCTCAGGAAACAGCTACCGTTTGACATATTTATATTATATTTTTATTTTTTTAAAAAAACCTATCAAGACTAAAAACGGGGAATATACTTCTCTCCCAACCGGGTCTAAACTTGCCTCGAAGGCTGCACCTGTTTTGCGCCCCTACCAGGAAGGGGTGTTTGAGGGGGAGGGAAAGAGGGAGGTTCTGCGCCCCCCAAATCCGGAGAAAGCAGCCCTCCCGCCCCCTCACCCGGCTGCCAGCTCAGCGCACCCGAGGGTTGAGCCTAAGAAGCCGACCTCTGACGGCGCTGGCGTGGTGCTTGCCAAAAAATGCCCTTTGCATCTCAATTTCCCAACCGTTTCTTTAGCTTGCACCGCTAGCCCAGGGCCACCTCGGTTCTCCAGCGCAGTCTTGCAGGCACCCCCCACCCCCATTCCTTCCTTCTCCGCTCCCTGCTTGACCAAGGCGGAATCCAAAAGGCACCGCCGAGAAGAAGCAGTGGGCATGGGGGCACCCAGCGTGACAGGTCCCGCAGTCCCCTCCCAAGCCAAGCCCAGCTCCCGGGACTCTCGATTACCCAAATGAGTGTCATTCAGGTCTAGGCACATCTGTGGCCGGCGTCCCTGGCTGCCTCTCTCGGGTTCCTGTGCGCTCCTGTTCCCCGTCACTGTCCGCGAGCCTGCGCCCCTCACCCAGGCTGGGGAGCACCCCGGGTCACCTCGGCCGCGCTCATTTCGCTTCCTCCCGCGGAGGAGATTGCAGCAAAACCGGGCAGCACAAGGGCCAAAAAGTGGAAGGGAGAACGCCTTTCGTGTCGCGCATCCAGCTTGCCAACTCTCCCTCCCCAGCGCCGACCCTCGGAATCCCAACTGCAACTTTTTCCCTTCCGTCTTGGTTTCCCCTCGGCTGCGGCGAGCGGTCGCGGGGCCGCTAGGCGTGGGGCGGGCGGGCAGCGGTGCGGCTACGGGTGGAGATACCGGCGAGAGCCGAGAGCCGGCGAGTGGGTGGGTGGGTGGGGAAGCAGGAGGGAGAGGACGGGCGGGGCGAGACAGGGGTGTGGGGAGGGGAGGGAGGGGGAGATTCCGCTCTCCTGCCTCTCCCAGCCCGGGCGGGGGGCGGGGGGAGGAGGCCACGACGAGGGAGGGGAGGAGGGAGGGGAAGAGGGAGGGAGGGAGCCGAGGAAGACGCTCCGATAACCCGTGCGTTTCGTAAGGCTCGGAGCACTTGTACATTTCTGCAGGCGCGTAGCGAGCCATTCGCGGCGGCTGCTGCAGCTCTGACTGCATCTTCCTCCTCCTCCTTCCTCCAGCTCCGCGCGTGTGTATGTGAGTGTGTGCGAGTGTGTTTTGCAGGTGTGCCCGTTTTAATTCTGCCCAGGAGGTGGGACTTGGTGACTTTAGCACCATTTTTTCCCTTTTATTATTATTATTATTATTTTGCCTTCCCATCGACTGTTGTTGCAACCCTGCAAAGTCTCGGAGTCGGAGTGTGCGCCTCGTTTCCAGAGCTCCTGGACCCCGCAAGCCGGCGAGCGCCGAGCCGGCCACCATGCCCGGCAGACCGCGCCACTAGGCGCTCCCCGCGGCTCCCACC